TAATATAAGCTAGTGTGCTAGTTAATACACAACATGTGCTAGTGTTGAGCCACATATTGTGCAAGGGTCATTCCCGCTGACCTGCACGTGACGAACAGACTATGACGTCATACTTTGTTGTGTCTAGTGCACGGAGTCCCAGCGTGACCAGACCAAAATATCAGCCAATCAAAAGCCGTGTTATTGCGGCTCTCTATCAACAAGCCATGCCGACTGCAGATGCTGGGACTTCCCTCGGCATCCGGCAGTTTAAACACAAACAACAGATAAGAGAATGTGGTAATTCGCCCTATCTGTTTGTTTGTATTCACGAAAACATTTCATCGCCCTAGGCTTATTTCCATTCTTTAATATGATTGCATGGGATGGGGCGGCAGGGTGTGTGTGTGTGTGGGGGGGGGGGGGGGGCTAAGATGGAAATAGATCGAAAGATTATTGGTTTAGGGGTGGCACAGTGGGGGGGGGGGGGTGAGATGGAAATAGATCAAACCATGATTTGGGATAGGGGCGGCAGGTTATGGAGGCCGTATAACAGATCAAAGATTTGGGATGGGGGCGGCAGGTTATGGAGGCCGTATAACAGATCAAAGATTTGGGATGGGGGCGGCAGGTTATGGGGGCTGTATAACAGATCAAAGATTTGGGATGGGGGCGGCAGGTTATGGGGGCCGTATAACAGATCAAAGATTTGGGATGGGGGCGGCAGGTTATGGGGGCCGTATAACAGATCAAACAGCGATTTCTTCATCTTGAGCAGACGATTTGTGTTTATGGACGCTCTGATTGTATCTGCCGTGAAGCACCTGTTTAACCGGAAGTTATGTAATGATCACACGACCACGTGACCTGCATCGTTAGATATGGGAGGATGTCTCAAACAACAGAAGGCAATCGTCTGCGCTTGTGCGATTAAAAGTTGTTGTCTGGGGTGTCTGCTGTCTGGGGTGTCTGTTGTCTGGGGTGTCTGTTGTCTGGGGTGTCTGTTGTCTGGGGTGTCTGTTGTCTGCTGTCTGGGGTGTCTGTTGTCTGGGGTGTCTGTTGTCTGGGGTGTCTGCTGTCTGGGGTGTCTGTTGTCTGGGGTGTCTGTTGTCTGCTGTCTGGGGTGTCTGTTGTCTGGGGTGTCTGCTGTCTGGGGTGTCTGCTGTCTGGGGTGTCTGCTGTCTGGGGTGTCTGTTGTCTGGGGTGTCTGTTGTCTGGGGTGTCTGTTGTCTGGGGTGTCTGTTGTCTGGGGTGTCTGTTGTCTGGGGTGTCTGTTGTCTAGGGTGTCTGTTGTCTGCTGTCTGGGGTGTCTGTTGTCTGGGGTGTCTGTTGTCTAGGGTGTCTGTTGTCTGGAGTGTCGCTGTATAGTGTGTCTGTCAGAAGTGACTACAATAACAAGACACACCAGGGCTAACGACTACAGCACCAGACACATGGCGCAAACAGACAGACAGACAAACATTACATGTCGGACAACTACACGATTAAATGTGAGATAAATACACTGAGATAGGGGATGGGGGCGGGGGGAGAGGGTGAGCACTTTACCTACTTGTTTACCTGATGCACGCGCCATGAAAGGTGGACACTGTGACCTTTGACCTCTCATGTTTCATGTCAGGCCGCTCACTTCCTCTCTAACGGCACAACGCAGCATCATTCTGAGACTGCAACCACCTGCAACCAGCTGATGCTACCTGTAGCAGGGTGGGGGGGGGGGGGGGGGGGGGGGTAAAAAGCATTGAAAGGTCACGATGACACGAGTCTAAATACAAGAAGAGACTGCATCACCCCCTTCCACCCCACCTACCCCACCTTATCCCACACATACCTTCACATGGTACGTGCATGCCTGGTGCTCACAGTTGTCTATGTTAAGGCCTCACAGCGTCAACACGGGGGGGGGGGTGGGGTTAACATGCGCCGGGGTGGGTTTAACATGCGCCGGGGTGGGGTTAACATGCGCGGGGGTGGGTTTAACATGCGCCGGGGTGGGGTTAACATGCGCGAGGGTGGGGAAGAGCCAGGTTGAAGTGCCAGGGTTTTTATACCTTCTGATGGATGGTTGTCAAGTTTTGTTGGTGGCGGGTTGTCAAGTTTTGTTGGTGGCGGGTTGTCAAGTTTTGTTGGTGGCGGGTTGTCAAGTTTTGTTGGTGGCGGCTTGTATAGTTTTGTTGGTGGCGGGTTGTCAAGTTTTGTTGATGGCGGGTTGTCAAGTTTTGTTGATGGCGGGTTGTCAAGTTTTGTTGGTGGCGGGTTGTCAAGTTTTGTTGATGGCGGGTTGTCAAGTTTTGTTGATGGCGGGTTGTCAAGTTTTGTTGGTGGCGGGTTGTCAAGTTTTGTTGGTGGCGGGTTGTCAAGTTTTGTTGGTGGCGGGTTGTCAATCATCCAACAACCCGGCCATGAATGGAAAATGTTGTCTTCACCCCCCCCCCTACCTGAGACGTCATCTTGTTACTGTACTGTATAGAAGAACTAAGACTTCCACTAGTTATACTATCGCCATACGTCTCTTCAAGGACCGAGTTAATTACCATGACTTTAAAAGGGAGAGAACCTTGAAGAAGTGACGGAAGAAGTTACTGCAGTACCACACCAAGGCCCGCGCATTGTTGACTTCTGACGATCGGTGTACTATGTGATATCCCAGCAAGCGTACGGTAGCATTTGGTCCGTGGTACAACGAGCTAAATATTTATGTGTGCACGCTAACAACGAACAAAACAAAATATGTGCTTTAATTTGGCTGGAGCAACGCCCGTATACACAATGACTCATACGAACACACACACAAATACGCATACACACATACACACCCAGCACACCAGCAAATTATCAACTGGTAATCATTCACCATTTTAAGTTATCTACCTCACACACACACAGACCCACCCACCATATGACCCCACGCTATTTATCGCATAAGACACACAGACCCACACACTTACATGTTTCGCTCACAAACACAATGGGACCCCCCCCCCCTTCGCCGGGGGTATTTCGTGAACTCCACTGTTTATAACATCCTTGTAACAATAGCATTAGCCCTCGGTCATGTTCTTATTGTTACGTTGTTAGTGGGTACAGGGGCGTCGTCGGGGGGGGGGGGGGGGGTTACTGGGGGCGTCGTTAAGGGGGTACTGGGGGCGTCGTTAGGGGGTACTGGGGGCGTCGTTAAGGGGGTACTGGGGGCGCCGTTAGGGGGGGTACTAGGAGCGTGGTTTGAGGGGTACTGGGGCGTCGTTAGTGGCAACACTGGGGCGTTGTTAGTGGGGTACTGAGGCGTCGTTAGGGGTACTGGGGGCGTCGTTAGGGGGTACTGGGAGCGTGGTTTGAGGGGTACTGGGGCGTCGTTAGTGGCAACACTGGGGCGTTGTTAGTGGGGTACTGAGGCGTCGTTAGGGGTACTGGGGGCGTCGTTAGGGGGGTACTAGGGCGTCGTTAGGGGTACCGGGGGCGTCGTTAGTGGGGAACATTGTCTCTTCCAGACTTTTTTCCAGGAGGGGGGGGGGGGGGGGCGGACACTATTAAGAGTTTATATCTGATATATAAAGTTCAATTCTGTATGTTTGTAAAATGTATGTTCGTCGTAGATTACAAAGAAATATAAGAAAAAAACAATACTTAAATAACGTCAATTGTTAAATATTAAAGTGCTCATGATCTAAATGATATACAAAAATAATATTCAAGGTAATGTAAAACAATTTTCATTTTTCAAACTTATCATAATAATTGTCCGCATGTACATTAAACCTAATTTTTAAAAAAAAATGTATCAATGTTTACAAAACATCTAACTGTGTCTGAATATTATTTACATTTAGTACTTTAGCGCTCATTACGTCCCTTGGAAATTAGCGGGGATTGATCAAGTGCCATATTCTAGGTATTTTTAATACTGCCTTTTATTTATTCTATACACTGAACGTACTGTTTTCTTCGTATTATTTTTAATCAAAGACAGTTAAAGTAACAAAAGGCATCTTTATTCGGGAACGGGAATTCCTGCAGGTTATTATTTATGTCTTTTTTCCGTTTTCGTTTTTGTCTGTCCTTTTTTGCACACGAAGGAGAATTCGTTTTTGTCGGTCGCACCAGAAAGCTCTTGTATAGACACCTGCACCAAACTACAAGAAGATTATATACCATTTGATACAATACTAGCCGTACTGGATTGTGTTGTGTTTGTGTTGTGTTTGTGTTGTATTTGTGTTGTCTTTGTGTTCAGTTTGTGTTGTGTTTGTGTTGATTTGTGTTGTGTTTGTGTTGTGTTTGTGTTGTGTTTGTGTTGTGTTCGTGTTGTGTTTGTATTGTGTTTGTGTTGTGTTTGTGTTGTGTTGTGTTTGTGTTGTGTTTGTGTTGTGTTTGTGTTGTGTTTGCGTTTAGATTTGGTTTGTTCTCGTTTGCTTTTTGGTTGTTTTTTTTAAAATTTGTATTTGTGTTTGGGGTTGTAGTTGGGTTTGTTGTTAGCTTTTTGTTTTCGTTTGTGTTTGTGTAATTGTGTTAGCGTTATGTTTGCGTTTTGTTGTTTTGGCTTTGATTGGTTGTGGTTTGGGTGGGCAATGCCGGGTTTATGATGATTACTAAACACACAAGTAATGGTCCTTAACAGATAGGTTTTTCACAGAGGCCAGAGCAGGGCCTGGCCGGGATGGATAGTTTTCTTTATAAATTCTATTTCGTTCGAGGGGGGGGGGGGGAGAGAGGGGGGGGGAACCTTCTTAGAGGTGCCTGGAAGAAACTGGTGGGGTTCTGGGTGCGTCGTTAGTGGGGTATTTGGGCGTCGTTGATAGAAATACTGAAAGACGATTAAGACTTACTGTTTTCCCAGATAATCCCGTCTTTATATCGTTCTTGTGTTACCACGGTAAACACCTCAGGTAAAAACCAAAGTATCGGGTGTTTAAACACACGTTATCTCACGTTAAAACGTGTTGCAAATGGTGCGAGGAAACCATTAGCGTTCCAGTTCCAACGTTTACCGATTTTATCAGTTCACTTTCTCTCACCTGATCCAGGTGAGCTGACGGAGCGAGAGGACAAGGTCATCCTGCGACAACCCAAGGTCAACACCAGACGACTGTCTGACCGGAAGTTGGGCCGGATGTTGGCCAGCACGCGGGAGCTACTGGACAACTTTTACCGGCCATACAACGTCAAGCTGGCACTGCTGTTGGAGGATGATCGCTTCCTGTGGAATGGTAGGTCATGTGGAGTGGTAGGTCATGTGGAGTGGTAGGTAATGTGGTGTGGTAGGTCATGTGGAGTGGTAGGTTATGTGGTGTGGTAGGTCATGTGGAGTGGTAGGTCATGTGGTGTGGTAGGTCATGTGGTGTGGTAGGTCATGTGGAGTGGTAGTTCATGTGGATTGGTAGGTCATGTGTAGGTCATGTGGAGTGGTAGGTCATGTGGAGTGCTAGGTCATGTGGAGTGGTAGGTCATGTGGATTGGTAGGTCATGTGTAGGTCATGTGGATTGGTAGGTCATGTGGAGTGGTAGGTCATGTGGATTGGTAGGTCATGTGGAGTGGTAGGTCATGTGGAGTGGTAGGTCATGTGGAGTGGTAGGTCATGTTGAGTGGTAGGTCATGTGGAGTGGTAGGTCATGTGGAGTGGTAGGTCATGTGGATTGGTAGGTCATGTGTAGGTCATGTGGAGTGGTAGGTCATGTGGAGTGGTAGGTCATGTGGAGTGGTAGGTCATGTGGAGTGGTAGATCATGTGGAGTGGTAGGTCATGTGGAGTGGTAGGTCATGTGGATTGGTAGGTCATGTGGAGTGGTATGTCATGTGGATTGGTAGGTCATGTGGAGTGGTATGTCATGTGTAGGTCATGTGGAGTGGTAGGTCATGTGGAGTGGTAGGTCATGTGGATTGGTAGGTCATGTGGAGTGGTATGTCATGTGGAGTGGTAGGTCATGTGGATTGGTAGGTCATGTGTAGGTCATGTGGAGTGGTAGGTTATGTGGTGTGGTAGGTCATGTGGTGTGGTAGGTCATGTGGAGTGGCAAGTCATGTGGAGTGGTAGGTCATGTGGAGTGGTAGGTCATGTGTAGGTCATGTGGATTGGTAGGTCATGTGGAGTGGTAGGTCATGTGGATTGGTAGGTCATGTGGAGTGGTAGGTCATGTGGATTGGTAGGTCATGTGTAGGTCATGTGGAGTGGTAGGTCATGTGGAGTGGTAGGTCATGTGGAGTGGTAGGTCATGTGGAGTGGTAGATCATGTGGAGTGGTAGGTCATGTGGAGTGGTAGGTCATGTGGATTGGTAGGTCATGTGGAGTGGTATGTCATGTGGATTGGTAGGTCATGTGGAGTGGTATGTCATGTGGAGTGGTAGGTCATGTGGAGTGGTAGGTCATGTGGATTGGTAGGTCATGTGGAGTGGTATGTCATGTGGAGTGGTAGGTCATGTGGAGTGGTAGGTCATGTGGATTGGTAGGTCATGTGTAGGTCATGTGGAGTGGTAGGTCATGTGGTGTGGTAGGTTATGTGGTGTGGTAGGTCATGTGGTGTGGTAGGTCATGTGGAGTGGCAAGTCATGTGGAGTGGTAGGTCATGTGAAGTGGTAGGTCATGTGTAGGTCATGTGGATTGGTAGGTCATGTGGAGTGGTAGGTCATGTGGATTGGTAGGTCATGTGGAGTGGTAGGTCATGTGGAGTGGTAGGTCATGTGGATTGGTAGGTCATGTGGAGTGGTAGGTCATGTGGAGTGGTAGGTCATGTGGAGTGGTAGGTCATGTGGAGTGGTAGGTCATGTGGAGTGGTAGGTCATGTGGAGTGGTAGGTCATGTGGAGTGGTAGGTCATGTGGAGTGGTAGGTCATTTGTTGTGGTAGGTCATGTGGAGTGGTAGGTCATGTGGATTGGTAGGTCATGTGTAGGTCATATGGAGTGGTAGGTCATGTGGTGTGGTAGGTCATGTGGAGTGGTAGGTCATGACTCGTGCTGCATAAAAAGTGGTAGGGTCGTGACGAATGGTAAGCTAGCGACGCCTGACGCATTATAAGTAGCACCGGCCTGAAGCTTTTGGGTTGGTCAGTTGTGACCATTTGATGCTGACCAGCGCTATTGGTGCATGAATGACTTTTATGACGCAGACACGTCTATTTATGACGCCTGTGACAATTTTGAATGGACTTTATTTATGGCATACGGCTGTTTATCTTCGCTTTAAAGAAAATCTCATTTTTATCACCATTGCTCCCGATAACGACGTATTCGACCGTCGTTTGACCGTTTCTACTACTCACGTTTATGACGCAAGCGACCGTTTATGGTGGTCCTTGCTGACAAACCACAGTTATGACATGTGGCCGTTAATGACTTATCTGGCCTGTCACTGGGTGGGTGGGCTGACGTGGGGGGGGGGGGGGTCCGAGATATGCTGAGGGAAACACGAGACGACCCAATACATTTTACGTGTCTGACGTCGTGTGTGTGGGGGGGGGGGGGGGGGATGCTGAATGTTTGGTGTGACGTTCATGTACACTTAAAAATCCGCCCGTCACGGGCTGGTGTTTTAGAAAGTTCTAGAAATACCAGTCTAAGTCTGCCCGCGCTTGTCTTTTCCTCGTGTAAAAACGTCTGGATTTGATTTCTTAATGTCTTGTTGGGATGGCTCGTGGTGGAACAATAAACATTCGAAATGGCAAAGGCTGGAAGCTAAGTGGTGTAACGCCATCATTAGCTTGATGGTGCATCACCAGCTTAATGGAGTAACAACACCATTAGCATAATCATGTAACAACATCATCAGCTGAATGGTGTAACAGCATCATGAGCTAGAGGGTGTGGTTCAAGAGTAGAATAACGTGTCTTGTCCAGACCCCCCCCCCCCCCGTCACCAATGCAAAAAGTGCACGGGAGAAAAGTTAAACCCCACTACTTGTGACCTATCTCTGAATATTCAACGTTTAAATATTCAAATGTCTAGACTCTAGACATGAATATTTAAACGTACGCCATGAAAACATCACTTTATCTGCCTTTACGGTTAGGTGTAGGGTTAGGTAGGGTTAGGGGTGAAGGTACCCAAATACAGAACTTTTCGTGCAAATAATTAATGACATCACCCTCTTTAATAAATTCTGAAAGTTCAAGATTTGTATCCTCATTTTTATATATATTTTTTTTTTGGTGTCGGGAGTTAGCTTTTTGTATGTAATTCAGGCCAACATAAACGGGCCATATGGCCCACTAGAGCTGCCATGTTATCCATTGTAAAATAAACCCAACGAATCGGCAGCCCAACTGATTATTCCACTTTTCCCACAGCGGTGGAACTATAAATCCACCAAATTTTTCCCACAGCGGTGGAACTATAAATCCACCAAACTTTTCCCATAGCCGTGGAACTATAAATCTCGAAATAATCGCATGCTGATCTTTTATATCATCTTATGGAAAATTCCAGAAGGTATATCCTAAACAAGTCACGTGATACGGGTAAACAAATGACGAAACATCATCAGGGTCAAGGCACTTACCTCGTTATGATTTGGGCGGGACACGAGTGGCGACCTCTAGCGAGCTGCTTGAATCAATGGCCGACATTGTGCGCGAGACATTCCACAGCACGTGCCATTTATTTACGTCTGGGGCCACTTGCTTTCAGACACACAAATAGAAAATAAGGCTGTTCATTGTTTAACGTCTGCTGTCTGGAATGTTTTGTTTGATTTCTGTATTGTCTAGATTATTTAATTTCTGTATTGTCAGGTGTTTTGTTTTATTTCTGTATTGTCTAGGATTTTGTTTCTGTATTGTCTAGATTATTTTATTTCTGTATTGTCTAAATTAGTCTGGTAACATTTCTGTATTGTCTAGGTTTTTATTTCTGTATTTTCTAGGTTTTTTTGTTTTATTTCTGTATTGTCTAGATAATTTTATTTCTGTATTGTCTAGGAATTTATTTCTGTATTGTCTAGATAATTTTATTTCTGTATTGTCTAGGATTTTATTTCTGTATTGTCTAGGATTTTATTTCTGTATTGTCTAGATTATTTTATTTCTGTTTTGTCTAGATTAGTGTGTATTGTCTAGATTAGTGTGTATTTTCTAGATTAGTCTGTATTGTCTAGATTAGTCTGTATTGTCTACATTAGTCTGTATTGTCTAGATTAGTCTGGTAACATTTGATACTTTGATGTTTTCAGACGTGGAGTACATTTAAATCTAAAGCTATCGGAGAAACACGACCACGTGACCTGAGCTAAAAGACTTTCAGGCAAGCCGATGTGAGAGAGTTAAAAGACCTAAAGACCTTGAGTCTATGCCAGCAGTTGAAGGTCAAAGGCATAGATCAGCTATACGACCTCTAGCTTTGTGGTTAGATCTAAAGACCATACTGGTAGATCTGCTGAAAGACCTTAAAGGTCATGTGACCTGAGGAACTAATTGACCTAAAGACCTTGTGACAACTGTTTGACTCAAAAAATTAAAGTCTTGATTCTATGGATACAATCCACGGAGCGGTTACCTGTATGGATACAATCCACGGAGCGGTCACCTGTATGGATACAATCCACGGAGCGGTCACCTGTATGGATACAATCCACGGAGCGGTCACCTGTATGGATACAATCCACGGAGCGGTCACCTGTATGGATACAATCCACCTGTGCCAATATGTCAGGTACACAGCAGGTACATCAAAATGGCGGGAACTAATCTTTTGATGACTCACCTGGTGTAGGTAGAGGCAGGTAGTGGCAGGTAGGTGATCTGTGAAAGTGGGACCTCGGTGTTATGAAAGAAGATAAAAAGGTGTAAAAAAAAATTCCGGATTTCATCCAGTGTGTTCTGGGAAAAATTCCAAGTTATAACCTCCAAACAAGCTTGCTGACAACAGTCACGTGATTACTCAGGTACGGAGCGGAAGTTGAATGACGTCAGCACCGGACGACTTGCTCAAATAAAAGGACAATGTAATGAATCTCAGATAAAAAAAGACAATGTAATGAATCTCAGACTAAAGCATCACAGTCGGGAGTCGTCAAGACAGAAAAAAAAAACATTCTAAATCTGTTATGGAGGCAAAACGATAATTTGATCGACATGTTCATTCATTCTTCGTGGTCAAAGTAGTACAGACTACACTATGTTGGTACACACAGACTCTACAGACTGTGTTGGTACACACAGACTACACTATGTTGGTCCACACACACTACACACTGTGTTGGTACACACAGACTACACACTGTGTTGGTCCACACACACTACACACTGTGTTGGTACACACAGACTACACACTGTGCTGCTACACACATACTACACACTGTGTTAGTACACACAGATTACACACTGTGTTAGTACATACAGATTACACTGTGTTGGTTAACACAGACACTAGAACTACAACTAGATATATTTACCTGTTGACCTACAAACTGTGTTGTACCTTGTTTCCATTTGCTCAACTACACATCATCTCTTTCAGCTGCATGTGTCGTCTGGTCCCGCTGTGTATAGCCGGTGTGTAAGATGCTCCGTTGTGTAAGATGTCCCCCATGTGTAGTGCCGGTGTGTAAGATGCCCACGGTGTGTAAGATGCCCCGCTGTGTAAGATGCCCCCCCTGTGTAAGATGCCCCCCCTGTGTAAGATGCCCCGCTGTGTAAGATGCCCCGCTGTGTGTAGCCGGTGTGTAAGATGCCCCGCTGTGTAAGATGCCCCCCCCCCCCCCCTGTGTGTAGCCGGTGTGTAAGATGTCCCCCGCTGTGTAAGATGTCCCCCCCTGTGTAAGATGCCCCGCTGTGTAAGATGCCCCGCTGTGTGTAGCCGGTGTGTAAGATGCCCCGCTGTGTAAGATGCCCCGCTGTGTGTAGCCGGTGTGTAAGATGCCCCGCTGTGTAAGATGCCCCGCTGTGTGTAGCCGGTGTGTAAGATGCCCCCCTGTATAAGTCTACTGACTGCTTGTGTGTACGAAACGCCTGCTTGAGACTGTAGGTCATCTTCTGACCTAACTGTCCCTCACTGGGGGAGGGGGTGGGGAAGGGGGCTGGATGCATGGGTGAGTGAAATGTGGGCTGGTTATATGGGGGAGTGAAATGCTTGTCATCTGACTTCAGTATGCCGGGCTCTGAACCATGTCTTACCCAGTGTGACCGTAGTTGAGAGAGTGAGGGGGGGGGGGAAGAGAAAGAGAGAGATACAGAGAGATAGAGATACAGAGAGAGGGGGGGAGAGTTTGCAAGTAAATCTAGAGCCTGATTGTAACCATGGTAACAAGAGGTAGGACCTGAGCGAGGCAGGACCTGAGACCAGTCCCTTGTGTGCTTTTGTTTTCATCAAAACCATCTTTTGTATCGCAACATTTGTATAATCAATATCGAGAGTTTTGGCTTTCATCAAAACCCTCTTTTGTATCGCAACATTTGTATATTCAATATCGAGTTTTGGTTTGAATGCAACGATCTTAAACGGTCAGAGTAAAAATAATGTTTCGTATTGTCGTGTCTGATTTCGGATCAGCGTGTCAGTCATTGTTTTACTTATCCCATCATCATTTAGCTCTTGCTTTAATCATTTTCTGTATATGGCCACTTGGCCAGTGCCTGTATATGGCCACTTGACCAGTGCCTGTATATGGCCACTTGACCAGTGTCTGTATATGGCCACTTGACCAGTGCCTGTATATGGCCACTTGGCCAGTGCCTGTATATGGCCACTTGGCCACTGCATGTAAAGGTCCAGTTCTATGGACGAGATATTGAGATCTATTTAAGACCGATAATTTACCATCGGAAATATGAGTGTGATCAATAAATTAATGATTGTGATACAAATCAATAATTTAATGATTGTATCATCACGAATGACTTAAGACATGTACTAAACTCTATAAATAAATTTTGTGTAGTGAAAAGTTGCTTAAAGTGCCAACCTTTTTGTTAGAATAGACAGAATCAAATCAAATTGTTGTTAGAATAGACAGAATCAAATCAAATTGTTGTTAGAATAAACAGAATCAAATCATATTGTTGTTAGAATAGACAGAATAAAATCAAATTGTTGTTAAAATAGACAGAATCAAATCAAATTGTTGTTAGAATAGACAGAATCAAATCAAATTGTTGTTAGAATAGACAGAATCAAATCAAATTGTTGTTAGAAAGACAGAAACAAATAAAATTGTTGTTAGAATAGACATAATCAAAATAAAATTGCTTGTCTGGTTGCTTCCTGTGTCCAAAATTGCTTTGTTATTTGTTGATGTACGTTAGGGGGTCACTTATAAATGACGTCACGCTTTTTAAGACAATTTTACCCCCCTCCCATCCCCATAGTCACACGTCCTTAAAAAATGTCAGACCCTCCCCCACCCCTAAAATGACGTCACACTTCTGTCTACAACCTAAAAATTGTCTACCAATGCACCCGAAAGTCTCACCAGGCTTATCTTCCACCCTACTGTACGCAGGGCAGTACCCAGCTGTACGCAGGGTAGTACCCGGCTGTACGCAGGGTAGTACCCCACTGTACGCAGGGCAGTACCCCGCTGTACGCAGGGCAGTACCCGGCTGTACGCAGGGCAGTACCCCACTGTACGCAGGGCAGTACCCGGCTGGACCGTAGGGGTAGTTCGGACCTCGAAGTCTGAACTAAAACGTCACAACCTTGCTTACGACGCCACAAACTCACATCTTTTGTTCATGAAAAAACCTTCACACCACATACTCTCGTACCCTCACACCACCCTCACACCACCCTCACACCACCCTCACACCACCCTCACACCACCCTCACACCACCCTCACACCACCCTCACACCACCCTCACACCACCCTCACACCACATACTCTCGTACCTCACACCACCCTCACACCACCCTCACACCACCCTCACACCACATACTCTCGTACCTCACACCACCCTCACACCACCCTCACACCACCCTCACACCACCCTCACACCACCCTCACACCACCCTCACACCACATACTCTCGTACCCTCACACCACCCTCACACCACCCTCACACCACATACTCTAGTACCCTCACACCACCCTCACACCACCCTCACACCACCCTCACACCACATACTCTCGTACCTCACACCACCCTCACACCACCCTCACACCACCCTCACACCACTCTCACACCACCCTCACACCACCCTCACACCACCCTCACACCACACATACTCTCGTACCCTCACACCACCCTCACACCACCCTCACACCACACATACTCTCGTACCCTCACACCACCCTCACACCACCCTCACACCACCCTCACACCACCCTCACACCACCCTCACACGACCCTCACACCACCCTCACACCACACATACTCTCGTACCCTCACACCACCCTCACACCACCCTCACACCACACATACTCTCGTACCCTCACACCACCCTCACACCACCCTCACACCACCCTCACACCACCCTCACACCACCCTCACACCACCCTCACACCACCCTCACACCACCCTCACACCACCCTCACACCACTCTCACACCACCCTCACACCACCCTCACACCACCCTCACACCACACATACTCTCGTACCCTCACACCACCCTCACACCACCCTCACACCACACATACTCTCGTACCCTCACACCACCCTCACACCACCCTCACACCACCCTCACACCACCCTCACACCACCCTCACACCACATACTCTCGTACCCTCACACCACCCTCACACCACTCTCACACCACCCTCACACCACCCTCACACCACCCTCACACCACCCTCACACCACCCTCACACCACTCTCACACCACCCTCACACCACCCTCACACCACCCTCACACCACCCTCACACCACCCTCACACCACCCTCACACCACTCTCACACCACCCTCACACCACCCTCACACCACCCTCACACCACATACTCTCGTACCCTCACACCACCCTCACACCACCCTCACACCACCCTCACACTACCCTCACACCACCCTCACACCACCCTCACACCACCCTCACACCACCCTCACACCACCCTCACACCACATACTCTCGTACCCTCACACCACCCTCACACCACCCTCACACCACATACTCTCGTACCCTCACACCACCCTCACACCACCCTCACACCACATACTCTCGTACCCTCACACCACCCTCACACCACCCTCACACCACCCTCACACCACATACTCTCGTACCCTCACACCACCCTCACACCACCCTCACACCACCCTCACACCACCCTCACACCACCCTCACACCACCCTCACACCACCCTCACACCACCCTCACACCACATACTCTCGTACCCTCACACCACCCTCACACCACCCTCACACCACCCTCACACCACCCTCACACCACCCTCACACCACATACTCTCGTACCCTCACACCACCCTCACACCACCCTCACACCACCCTCACACTACCCTCACACCACCCTCACACGACCCTCACACCACCCTCACACCACATACTCTCGTACCCTCACACTACCCTCACACCACCCTCACACGACCCTCACACCACCCTCACACCACATACTCTCGTACCCTCATACTACCCTCACACCACCCTCACACCACCCTCACACCACCCTCACACCACATACTCTCGTACCCTCACACCACCCTCACACCACCCTCACACCACCCTCACACCACCCTCACACCACCCTCACACCACCCTCACACCACCCTCACACCACCCTCACACGACCCTCACACCACCCTCACACCACCCTCACACCACATACTCTCGTACCCTCACACCACCCTCACACCACCCTCACACCACCCTCACACGACCCTCACACCACCCTCACACCACCCTCACACCACCCTCACACCACCCTCACACCACCCTCACACCACCCTCACACGACCCTCACACCACCCTCACACCACCCTCACACCACCCTCACACCACATACTCTCGTACCCTCACACCACCCTCACACCACCCTCACACCACCCTCACACCACCCTCACACGACCCTCACACCACCCTCACACCACATACTCTCGTACCCTCATACTACCCTCACACCACCCTCACACCACCCTCACACCACCCTCACACCACCCTCACACCACACATACTCTCGTACCCTCACACCACCCTCACATCACCCTCACACCACATACTCTCGTACCCTCATACTACCCTCACACCACCCTCACACCACCCTCACACCACCCTCACACCACTCTCACACACCACATACTCTCGTACCCTCACACCACCCTCACACCACACTCACACCACACATACTCTCTTACCCTTACAATTCTCTTGTACCAATCAAGCTAATGAAAAAAAAGGGGGGGGGGGTCATTTAGAACTATATACAAGGGGGGAGGGATTGTGAGGACCTGCTCATGGGACTTCAACCAGGGCACGCGACAACATAGGCATCACGCAGATCGCAGCCTAATGGGAACAGGAAACCTGCTCACGTGCAGCACAGAGAGTGAACACCTCACGGAGAGTTGAACACACCAAACTTTCCCCGTAACATTGGTGTGATGTTACAGCCTGTGGTGTGATGTTACAGGCTGCTGGTGTGATGTTACAGGCTGTTGGTGTGATGTTACAGGCTGTTGGTGTGATGTTACAGGCTGTTAGTGTGATGTTACAGGCTGTTGGTGTGATGTTACAGGCTGTTAGTGTGATGTTACAGGCTGTTGGTGTGATGTTACAGGCTGTTGGTGTG